ACTGTAGTGATGCCCTACTGCAGAAGGATGAGAAACTGAGTTTTAATTGTTAGGGCCAAGTGAGAGAGCCACAGGGTCTCCTTGGTAGCTAGGTTGTAAGAAGCCCTTATCTTCTGCAATAGGAGAGTGGATACAGCCGAGGAACAAATTCAGGATCTGATAAAATTGCCAAGTTTAAAAGACGGTTGAATGCTCTGTCAAGGCAAGTCTGCTACAATGTCAGAACCGTGGTTGGAAAAACCTGGGGACTGTGAAACATGGGATGGGGACATCTGAGTAGATGCTCCTAAGGATTGTGATTCTTCAGATAGCCCTGAACCCATGCCTTCATAGCTTACCTCTCTTTATTAGGGGCTAGCTTCCCCCAAGCACGAAGAGAGCCTGGATTCTTGATGACTTCATGGTGCCGCCCTACTAGCCCTGGATTCTTGCCTCCGGACTTCATTTATGTATGAGAGAAATAAACTTCTATCTTTTCAAGGCATTATTACCCATGCCAGTAACTTTCTATCATATCATTCTCTCTTCTTTCTAAATAACCTTGTTAACTATTTATTGTCTATTTCCCAACTGGAACATAAGCTCCATGAGGGCAGGCACCTGGCCCGTCTTATTCACCATTATAGCTTCAGTGCCTAGAACAATGCCTGGCACACAGCAGGCGCTCAATAAATATTTGTTGTTAAATGGCTGGCTCCCTTGCTGGACTGAGAGCATCTCAAGAGCCCGTCTTGGGTCTGATTCATTTCAGTGTCCACAGTTCCCAGCCCCGGGCACATAGAAGGGGCTGAATGAATGTGCACCGACTTGAAAAGAGGAAGGAGAGAGTTGGGAGAGAGGGCTGTGGGAAAGGCAGGAGAAAATGACCCACCTGCAGTGCTGGGGGCTCCGTTCATGACACCCAGAGACGAGGCACCTGGACACAAGAGCAGAAGGTGCGAGTTTCCTCAGTCATTCTCCCGTGACTGTGGCACTGTGGTCGCAGCCCCTCCAAGTTCTCCTGGACCTCATCATCACAGCCATTGACAACCCACAGTGTGGAGGC